CACTCCTTTTATAGGCAGATAACATGCGTTGTTTCATACATCTATTAGTATTTTCAACAGTTTTGATTTATAAAGTTTTCCAGACAATTCTATTAGTATGATAGGAGATTAAAGAGATTCAATTAGCAGCTGTCAAATCTAGACACATGAATTCCATCATATAAGCTCTACGGAAACCAGTATTTCATTGATATGATTTTTCTTTCTTCAATTAAAATTCACAGCGACTGATCATCCTTTACAAAAACAAAGACATCTCAGGAGCAGGAATAAAGGAGAGAATGCCTTCCCCAAATAGACCAAACATGAAACCATAAGCTGCCCAGATTTTAAGTCATCCTTCCAAATCTGCGGTAGGATGGCTGAAATCTTTGAAGCTCGAGTATCACCCCTGCCTCTTCTATGTCTGCTGCTGATCCGCTATCATGAGAAATCTGTGCAGGATGATAAGGGGCCCGCATCAGAATCCCCAAAGAAGAAGCTACTACTGGTTCCTCCTGCATGGGAGATGATGAGGAGCTGGTGACACGGACCAGTTGGTCCATCAGTTGCTATTTTCTTGTGGGGTGGCTGCTCTTCCAAGTGCTCATGGTTGCCTTGCGTTATCTTGAAGATTGCACAAGGGGAAGCAAGGGTTAATGTTTGTTTTCTCAATAAACAAAATGCAGCAAATGTTTGTAAAATGTGCTTCTAAAATATCTGTGTCCTATTTAAGGATCAAATTTTAGACAAATTATTTATAAGGTTAGTCTCCCTCAATAACAAAAGATTACCCATTCATCAGTATATTGATACATCAATAATCCTGATTTCACATAGAGCATATAATCTAAGGCAAACAAACAATCTCAAACACCCTTGTCCCTAAGCATGCAAATTAATCCGGAGTTCTGGTAAACCCACAGATGCTATACAATCAATGTCTTACCCTAAGCAAACAAATAAGTCAGTATATCTCTTACTTGGCACTGTGGTAACAACTTTTCCATTGGATTCCAGACACCTGGCTGGTGGGGATGGCATAGGTGGGAAGATCTTGAGGCGATCGTATATGCATTGACAGCTGCATGCTCGGAAAAGAAAAGTCAAATTACACTCATTAGATAAGCTTCTCAAGATTTACTCCTGGGTATAATTGTATAAGCATTCTTACACAAAGCAACTTACCAGCAAGGCCCCACACACTCGCCAGGCCTCATGCCTCTTCACTTCATTCTTTTGCTTCTCAAGTAGCATCTCAGGTTCAAGAAGATGCAAATCAGGCTCAAGATTTGCGAGTAGAAGAAGGCGAACTACTGTAAGAGAGAGGAAACATCACAAACTGCACCATTGTTTTCCAATTTTACTTTCAGGACACTTTTTTTTTTTTTCCGAAAAGCATGAGAAGAGAGAGTACCACGTTGGGTCCCAGGGCTGCTAAACCTTGAACTGCCCATAATGTTGAGTCAATGATCGCTTGGGTCCAAAAGAGCGTTGAGAGAGTTTTGGTCAGAGTGTCTGAAGAGTGTTATACACATGCCCAAATCTACAGCAAAAAATACAAAATTATTACAACATGTACATAAAGCATGGATGACAGAGGAAAACCAATAATAAGGTGGAGAAGTTTCACCTTTGCATATTGCAGCAACCAGTTTTGCGTGAAGTCTCTAAGTTCCCAGTGGTTATCTGCAAGTCTATTCTGTCAAAGTATATGATATTTTGCTGGAAACCATTTTGCAATTCAGTTTGAATGTTTGGCGTCATATTTGAGTGGGATGTAGGCTGTCTGTCAAGTGCAGGTTTTGGTATTTTTTAATGTAATATGTGATAGTTTAGGTAAGGCAACTGGTGATTTGGCCAGAATATGTCATGTGATTTGTATTAGTTAGAGGGTTAGATGTATTATATTTGAAAAAAGTTCTCACTGTAGAGGTGTGTAACAATGATGAAAACATGGCTTTATATTTCTCTGCTATGAACGAAAACTGTGCAGACTTTGAACTGAATTTTTCTCTCATTTCAACTCTCTCTTTCATGCATGCTAAACTTCTTTCTCTTAGCATATTCAAACTAAAAACTTCAATTGGTGTCGAGCTGATCTTGATCTTTCAAGACCAAAAAACCACGTAGTGAAGCTTCCTCATGGCATCGAACCCTGCCCCACTTTCTCCTCCTATCTTCAATGGTGACCAGTATCATGTTTGGGTTGTCAAGATGAAAACCTACTTGAGGGGCATGGTTGGCAATATGTGGAGGAGGAGAAGCAAGTTCCCCAGCTTGGACCAAACCCGATGCTGAACCAGATGAGGATCCATGAAGAAGAGGCAGACCCAGGCTCCAAGAGCACTGTCCTGTATACACTCGGCTGTGACAGACCAAGTCTTCTCCCGAATCATTGTGTGGTGAGACCCTAAACAAGCTGAGACACGAGGTATGTATACATTGTATCAAACTATATCTCAGTAGTTAATTTTCAAATAATAGGATGAAAATAAACCAAAGCATTGCATATGTGGAATTCATGATTAAGAACAAAGTAAGCTATCTTCTTACGGTCTACTTTTCGACATTGCTTAGGGTATAACGACATTCAACTTTAGATGATGTACAATAATTAATCCAAAGGCAAGGGGTTGGCTTGACGATAAAAAAAAATTTGTTTCTTCATTGACTTTTTAGGTTCGAATCACTTTAAGGTCACTTATCACATATATTTATGACTTACTTGGAATATTAGATTTTTAGAGTGCTTATCATATGCACAAACTAATCTGGACACCTCGATAAATAAATAATAATAATAAGAAACTTGCATTATGGGTAAATGTGGCTTGTGAGAAAACACTGAAAGTTTCAGGGAATTTGTAGAAGAGAGATTGGACAAGAAACTGAATTTTTGATTCAGTAATTTTTTACAAACACCAAGAAGCTGTATTTTATACTTTGATACAGCTCAGCTCATCAACCCAAGTAAAGCCTGAATTTCAGGCGTAAAATGAGAAACATCAAACAACTGATTTTAACACACTGTACAATTATGCGTACTAAATTACAACTAACCCAACATTAAAACTGAAGAAAAATAAAGAAACACCCTCTTCAAGTTTTCTCTGAACTCGAGCAGACCAAAACAACTGATGCATACATTTTTGTTCCTAAGCTTAAGCTATATTATTGAACTGCTACTCTGTAACTCTTTACCAAAGCTTACAGCTAGAAGAACACTGGTGCCAATTGAGAGATAGGTCAGACTCCACACCTGCTCCTGTAAAAAAATGTCATTACTCATTGAATACATCCATTTTTTACTCCTTCAAATACTTCTATCTTCAATGTCTTTACTTAATTACTTGGTCTAATCTTAACTACAATTACTATTTTTCTCTGATATTACAAACCGTTTAAACATATTACCTTTTTCTTATAAAAAAAATTAATCATTTTTTTTTTATTAGAAGTCCTAGTTAATGATATATAATATGTTATTCACCATAAATATATTAAAATTACTATATCGTTTTATATTATATATATTTTATTTGGATTTTTTAATTGCGGAGTTAATCCAATATACCCATGTACGTTCAAAAATTTTAATCTCAGTTGTTGGTGTGCGTATTATCCATACATAAATGAAGTGATAACTGTTGAATAATTTCATACAGAAAGGGAAAAAAAATTCAGTCTCTCCGTTATGAAATTATACACGTTTACTTGGCATGCAAACTTTCAAGTTCCATGCCGAAGGAAAACTTTGATATATATATGCTTCAGCTGAAATAAAATTTAATGCCTTACGTATAAATGATGAGAGTGAAACGGTCTAGAGAGTATTCAGAATAATAATAAAAAAAAACCAATCACACACAAACAACGAAATAATAAAGAGAAAAAATATGTGTGATTTATCTTTGTTCACCCAAAATTGGGTTGCATCTATTAAAATCAATATTATTTTAAAATTTTCTCATCTCTCTCATTATAATAAATGTAACAATCGGGCAATAAGACCCCATGTGTATTGTCCCTTATAAACGAACTCCTTACTGTTGAAGTAGCTGCCAACCCCAACAAAGTTGAAGACTAATTTATAGACAAGAAGTAATTACAAACTGACGGAGATCGACTGTGCTTCTTAGGGTTGAACAGACTTCCTGAACATGACAATTACGTGCAGAAAACTATGCCCATAACTTCATTCCTATAGGAAATGAATACATACACTTAATATATAAAACACTGAAAACTAGACTCGCGTAGACTTCCAAGTTCGTCATTCTGAAGGAGTAAATACATTTTTACTTCAGATCCGCCCCATATTCTCTATGCAACATATTGAAAAAAAAAAAAAAACACTCCATTATCCTGAAAATTAATGTGGACTCATTGTGTTTTCTGTCTCAACGTATTTGGTCAGATCAAATGGTTCATTAAATATTTCAGAAGTATTTGTGTTGCTAACTGGCCGACAGGGTCGCTTCAAAGTTAAACAACCATTCTTTCTTATCAAGCAAAACAATATCCAATTGCCAGCATTCGTATATATAATCATATCCTTTACAAGTTTTCATTTTTCCACTTTCCATGAACGCAACGTTCAACATTATGTAAATGAAGTGTAAGAACATCACTGAAAAAAATGAGAGCAAAATCCCTGTGAGCTCAATTATTTGACTGAAGCGAAAAAAGATAATGGAAGCAGGCTTGATCATATAAGAGAGAGGAAGATATATTTATATATATAGAAATATACACACCAATACGGAAACGTCATGTATGACGCTGATATAAATGACATAGTAATATATGTTGATATAGTTTCCAAAATTCATTTACTACGTGGGGACTCAATGCAAAATATAATACATAAAAATCAGGGAAGATGGATAAGAAGCTGCATGTGATAATTTCATGGGCATCGGGCGACAATTAATGCTAGATCTTAAACAGTACACTATCTCTCTCTAAAATAGACCACCATGTCCATTTACGCCATCTATAAATAGGGTAAAGCTGCAATGCTCTCCTCACAGTCAAAGCATCTAAAATCAGAGATAAAATCTCTTAGTTCTCAAGAGCAAATTATGGCTTCATCTAAGACTTTGTTTCTTCTTTTCTGCCTTCTCTTTGCACTCGTTCTTATACTGTCCTCTGAAGTTGGAGCTGATCATACAAGTGAGCTCTGCAATTACTTAATTAAAGTCCCTAGCTTCATCTTTTCAATTATATATGTTTCATGCATGAAATAGGACATTGTTGATATACATGTATATGTGTGTATATATATAGGATTTTATCAAGCTAACAGTATCCTTAATGTTTACAAATTGTAGAAGAAAGCAATGGCGTAGAAGAGGGCAAGTATGGAGGATACCCAGGAGGAGGAGGAGGAGGAGGTTACAATAATGGAGGGCCAGGAGGGTACAATAATGGAGGGCGTGGAGGGTACGGAGGGAACCCACCAAGAAGGGGATATTGCAACTACGGATGCTGCCGTGGATACCGTTATTCAAATGGGTGCCGTAGGTGCTGCGCACACGCACAGGAGGCTCCAGATGCGGAGTTTGAGGACGATGTTAAGAACTAAAATAAGTTTCCACCTTTTATCCATACGACTTCTATGTTAATTATGGGACCTACTTCTTGTGTTATTGATCAGCTTGTTTAAATAATGGCGGTACGAGTATGCACGTAGATGCTACTCACCAAATGCCACCTACTTTTAATAAAAGCTTCGGCACTGTTTGCGCAATCCCACATTTTAAATGCTTAATTAATGTTTTATGGTGCAACTTATCTTTAAATTAGTGAAGATTGATCGTAATTATCATATATATATATGATAATGTACAGAATGGTGGGTAGATTTCATTTGGAAGAAAAATAAATTTCATGATTAAATAACATAATAATTGTTTAAGGTTGCAATCTAATTTCATAACATTAAAGCAATACTTGATATACAATTTTCAAAATATGATATCGAATATTCATTGAACTGGATCCCCCAAGTATATAAGAGTATGTGACAAGTATTTCTTGAGTAATCTTTGGTCACCACCATGGCATGCATATTGAGGTTGGGATGAATTCTGTTTTCTCAAGTCATGACAATATTTTGTATAATGTTTTGCGTGTGTCACGGAATTGGGTGTTGTTCGAGAGGGAGGTTGAGGAATGACTAAGGGCAGATCTCATTGTTTTGACAGTTATCAACTGTCGGTGGTTGCGAGGGGACTTAGCAAGATTAAACTGCAGTTGCAATTTCTTCTTTGACTTTTTGGTCAACTTCTTTGATTTTTGACTTTCTAGCCATTGGATTTAAATTCAAAGGTTGAAAGGCAAGACAAATTCTAGTGCATAAGACTTACTAACCCATGAACAGTTAAAAAGGTATTAATCCAATGACTTGTGAATATTTGCATTCGCGTTCAATGGGCCAACTATGAAAGATCAAGTAGTCTCACTGTTTCACTAATGATTTCAAAAAACTTGTGGCCAGACGAAAACAGCAGGCCAACAAAGCAAATTTTGAAACAACATATTGCTCTCGAACTATCTTAACTAGAGATATAAATATAACCAAACCGAACTCTTTTTTTCAACGATCAAATTAAGTTGAAAGATTTCTTCTACTTGATACCTGTTGTAGCTTTCAGTACCAAGAGAAGTCAGCAAAATGAGTGTAGAAGTGTTAGATGGTGCAACCATTATTAGCTTCTGGAAGACGAAGATGCATTCAGCGCTCCAGTACGTGCCTTTTCGCCAACCTTGATAAAGATAAGATGGTCTTTCCTATGCAGAAATGATGAAGGAGCTACAGAGTCTGAGGGTGTTTGAGAATCATTTTGGAATCGATGACAAACCAGACCCGGATGAGCTTGCTAAGTTGTACAAATCCTTGTTCCTGAAATTCGACCACGACTCAAATGGATCTGTGGATTTGGAGGAGTTCAAGGCAGAGACCAAGCAAATGATGCTTGCTATGGCCAATGGTATACGGAGTTTTGCCCATACAAATGGCCCTGGAAGGGATAGCATCCTCAGAAAAGCTGTGGAGAAGGAGACCACTAAATTTGGTGCTTAAATTGCTTGTTGTTACGCTGTTCATTCTTCTTTTATTTAACATTGCAATTTCCTTTTTCCTTTTTGTTTTTGGTTATATGCCTCTTGAATTCTAGACAATGTAATCAAGTCATGATGAATAAATGAAAAATGTTTTGTTGTTGGTAATCATGGTCGTCCATTTATAATTAAGAAACCAGCTCCCAAGGCAAAGGATAATAGATTTCTCCTAATGTTTATATGAAAATCGAAGACTTTCGAAGAGCCTCTAGACGGGGGAAGAAACAATCACCTTAAAGCTTCATCAACTAGCCTATCCCTCGTATCTGCGAGAGAAGAAGCAATCTAAAAACTTATTGCAAATTTAAAAAACATTCACACCCTCCCTATATACCAATCAAATCACTCCCTTTTATAGGCAGATAACAGCGTTGTTTCATACATTATTAGTATTTCAACAGTTTTGATTTATAAAGTTTTCCAGACAATTCTATTAGTTGATAGGATGATTAAAGAGATTAATAGCAGCTGTCAAATTAGACACATGAATTCCATCATATAAGCTCTACGGAAACCATGTATTTCATTGATATGATTTTTTCTTTCTTCAATTATAAATTCACAGCGACTGTATCATCCTTTACAAAAACAAAGACATCCAGGAGCAGGAATAAAGGAGAGAATGCCTTCCCCAAATAGACCAAACAATGAAACCATAAGCTGCCCAGATTTTAAGTCATCCTTCCAAATCTGCGGTAGGATGGCTGAAATCTTTGAAGCTCGATGTATCACACTGCCCTCTCTATGTCTGCTGCCTGATCCGCTATCATGAGAAATCTGTGCAGAAGATGATAAGGGGCCCGCATCAGAATCCCCAAAGAAGAAGCTACTACTGGTCTCCTGCATGGGAGATGATGAGGAGCTGGTAGACACTGGACCAGTTGGTCCATCAGTTGCTATTTTCTTGTGGGGTGGCTGCTCTTCAAGTGGTCCATGGTTGCCTTGCGTTTATCTTGAAGTTGCACAAGGGGAAGCAAGGGTTAAAGTTGTTTTCTCAATTAAACAAATGCAGCAAATGTTTGTAAAATGTGCTTCTAAAATATCTGTGTCCTATTTAAGGATCAAATTTTAGACAAATTATTATAAGGTTGTTCTCCCTCAATAACAAGAACTTACCCATTCATCAGTATATTGATACATCAATAATGATTATCACATAGAGCATATAATCTAAGGCAAACAAACAAATCTCAAACACCCTTGGTCCCTAAGCATGCAAATTAATCCGGAGTTCTGGTAAACCCACAGATGCTATATCAATCAATGTCTTACTCCTAAGCAAACAAAAAGTCAGTATATCTCTTACTTGGCACTGTGGTAACAACTTTTCCATTGGATTTCCAGACACCTGAGCTGGTGGGGATGGCATAGGTGGGAAGATCTTGAGGCGATCGTATATGCATTGACAGCTGCATGCTCGGAAAAGAAAAGTCAAATTACTCATTAGATAAGCTTCTCAAGATTTATCCTCCTGGGTATAATGTATAAGCATTCTTACACAAAGCAACTTACCAGCAAGGCCCCACACACTCGCCAGGCCTCATGCCTCTTCACTTCATTCTTTTGCTTCTCAAGTAGCATCTCAGGTGTCAAGAAGATGCAAAAGGCTCAAGATTGGCAGTAGAAGAAGGCGAACCTACTTGTAAGAGAGAGGAAACATCACAAACTGCACCATTGTTTTCCAATTTACTTTCAGGACATTTTTTTTTTTTTTCCAAAAAGCATGAGAAGAGAGAGTACCACGTTGGGTCCAGGGCTGCTAAACCTTGAATGCCCATAATGTTGAGTCAATGATCGCTTTGGTCCAAAAGAGCGTTGAGAAGAGTTTGGTCAGACGTGTCTGAAGAGTGTTATACACATGCCCAAATCTACAGCAAACATAATACAAAATTTATTACAACATGTACATAAAGCATGGATGACAGAGGAAAACCAATATAGGTGGAGAAGTTTCACCTTTTGCATATGCAGCAACCAGTTTTGCGTGAAGTCTCTAAGTTCCCAGTGGTTATCTGCAAGTCTATTCTGTCAAAGTATAGATGATTTTGCTGGAAACCATTTTGCATTCAGTTTGAATGTTTGGCGTCATATTTGAGTGGGATGTAGGCTGTCTGTCAAGTGCAGGTTTGGGTATTTTTAATGTAATATGTGATAGTTTAGGTAAGGACAACTGGTGATTTGGCCAGAATATGTCATTGTGATTTGTATTAGTTAGAGTGGTTAGATTGTATATATTTGAAAAAAAGTTCTCACTGTAGAGTGGTTGTAACAAGATGAAACATGGCTTTATATTTCTCTGCTATGAACGAAAACTGTGCAGACTTTGAAATGAATTTTTCTCCATTTCAACTCTCTCTTTATGCCTGCTAAAATCTTTCTCTTAGCATATTCAAACTCAAAAACCTTCAATTGGTGTCAGAGCTGATCTTGATCTTTCAAGACCAAAAAAACCACCGTAAGTGAAGCTTCCTCATGGCATCGAACCCTGCCCCACTTTCTCCTCTATCTTCACATGGTGACCAGTATCATGTTTGGGTGTCAAGATGAAAACCTACTTGAGGGGGCATGGTTTATGGCAATATGTGGAGGAGGAGAAGCAAGTTCCCCAGCTGGACCAAACCGAGCTGAACCAGATGGGATCCATGAAGAAGAGGCAGCCCAGGCTCCAAGAGCAATGTCCTGTATACACTCGGCTGTGACAGACCAGTCTTCTCCCGAATCATTGGTGTGAGACCCCTAAACAAGCTTGAGACATCCTCAAGGGGAGTTTGGAGGGAGTAGCCAGACTTGCAATATGCAAGTCTTAAAATTGAAGGGAGAATTTGAGGTACTCAAGATACAGAGGCTGAATCTATCAAGGAATATGGGACAGACTTATGACTGTGGTAACAGAATTAAGCTGCTTGGGGAAGAGTGGCCAACCAGAGGATAGTGGAGAAGGTCCTGGTCAGTTTACCTGAAAGGTTTGAGGCAAAAATTTCATCCTAGAAGACTCTAAAGAACTGTCCCAGATCAGCTTGGCTGAACTGGTTCACTCACTTCAAGCCAGAAGTAGAGAAGGCTACTAAGGCAAGAAGACCAACTGAGGCAGCCATGGTTGCAAGTCAGAAAGGAAGAGCATACCAAAAGGAAGACAAGATATATGGTGGTGAGAAGAAGAGAAAAGAGAAGAGCAATAATCAGGGAGAAAAAAGTGGTGGAATGAAATCATTTCCTCCATGTTTGCACGGCAAAAAGAGGAACCATCCAGAAAATAAGTGTTGTTTTAGACCTGGTGTACAATGCAGGTCATGTAAATAGTTCGGTCAAAAGAAAAAGTGTGGAAGAAAGACGGATCAGCAAGAGCAGCATGCTACAGTGGTGGAGGTCCAGCAGCCAAGTTCAGAAGCTGAGCAGCTTTTCATGGCCTCATGCTCGAACCATAGATGTGTGATGATGTATGGCTGATTGATAGTGGTTGTA